CTAGCAATCAACGTATCAAATATTCTTAACCTAATAAAGGGTTTCAAGATATATTTTCCAATATATATGAACATCCAGGATAAAAACATTAACAAGCACAAATGATACGAATAACAACATAAAAAACATAGATTAATATCTCAAAATATCACCAAGATGCAAAAGAGTTCAAAGGAAGCGCACTCAATCTTAAGAGAATAAAGTTAGCCACTCATGATGACCATTACAATGATCCAAATGAAGAAGAATTGAATATTGGATGAAAACTCGATCAACTTTCGCATCTTTCTTCTCAAAACCCCCAACTCTCCTTTCTTAAAACGCATCTTATTTTTTTATTGAAAAATTTTGCGTCATTCGCTCAAGCGGAACTTTCGCTCAAGCAAGTAATAGTGACTTTCGCTCAAGCGAGAATTGTTCGCTTGAGTGATTAAATTCCTGAGAGCTTTAATGTATTTTTACTCGAGCGAGCGTCCGTCTCGTTCAAGCAAATGACTTCTAGAGAGTTTCAACGTATTTTCACTCAAGCAAGCGTCTACTTTGCTCGAGCGAATCTTAGGTGAAAATCTTCTTCCCTTTGTTAAATTTTTCTTCAATTAACTTGAGAATTATGATCCTTTCTTTTGTACCCAGATATTTTTCAAATTCATTTACATTGGAAGAAGAATATATTAGAAGCAACATAATTTAAGTGGTTAAATAACAATTCAAAGCATAATTACATCAACTTTTACCACTTAACAGAAGGTAGTTGCTTTAGAAGATAATGGTGTATGTTTAGTAAATATTTATTTGAAGAAGAACAAATAACATTAAAAAATATAGTTCGAAAGCTTCAAGCAAAAAAAATGAAAAATGATAAACATATAGTTGACTTTTGTAAGCTTTATATCTTATTTGGTTGGACAATATTTTATCTTCCTCACACATCTTGCACTGTTTATAGTGTTCCTTTTAGTTTATTAGATGATTTAAAATCATTAGATGATTATAATTGGAGTTATGTTGTGTACGGTCTATTAGTTGACAATTTGCGTCGTGTTAATGAAAACTTAAATCAATAAAAACATGTTTCTGAATTATATGTTGTTAGTTGTGTCGCTGTCTTACAGGTAACTTCTCTACCTATTAATGTTACAGTTCTTACAAATCATTGATTTATTGGTTGGTACAAAGTTATTGTGGCTTATCACATGGTATTTTGTCAAAGATTTGGGGAGTGAAACACTTGTCTTTGCCTATTGATCCGCAACGAAAGATCTCCTTTCTGTAGTTTGTTGAATGACCCAAAATAAATATTTGAATGTCAAAAATACAACGTACATCCATTTCAAACAATATAAAATATGTTGTGCATAACATATATTATTTTTTTTCTTTAAAATGTGGAACTATTATATTATGTTGCTAACATATAGAGTGTTAATTTTGTTAGATTTTATGAGATTAGGCAGTGTCTACCGAAGATGAGACAATTCAAGTTGTGCGAGAAGGTTTGTTATTTTCTGAGAATGCTAACATTCCTTACTCTGGTGGTGCCTCACATGAGTTGCAACAAGTCTTATCTGAGTAGTGCATATGAAGATCTAAAACATAATAAAATGAAAATAGAATATTCAACTTGAACGTGAGGTCAAACACTACAAAAAAAATTAAAATTACCGATGGACAAAATTCGTCGATAAATACATATTACCGACGATCCTAAATCCGTCGGTAATTGTGTTGTCGGTAAGAGAATTGTCATAGACATGATTCGAACCCAATACCTTAGAGTTGAAGGCTGATACTCTAACCACTAAGCTACCAGAATTTTTTTATTATAGTTTACAATAAATTATATTTATATACAAATAAATGTATATCCAAATAAATATATATATTTATATATTTGTATATTTATATATAATTAAATATTTATTTTTTAAAATTATTTAATTTAATAAATTATTATAAATTAATCTAATTATGATTAAATTAATTTATTAAATAGAAAAAATATTTAATTTCTTAATTAGGTGAATAATTAATTTATTAGAATATATTTAAAATTAAGTAATTATTATATAATTTTATCGACGGATATATCCGTCGGTAAGTAATTGTTAATTTACCGACCGATTTACCGAACGGATATATCCGTTGATAAGTAATTGTTAATTTATCGACGGATTTACCAAAAGATATATCTATCGGTAATTAATTGTTAATTTATTGACGGATTTACCAATGGATATATCTGTCGGTAATTAATTATTAATTTACCGACGGATTTACCTGTAGAAAATATCCATCGGTAACTAATTATTAATTTACCGACGGATATATCCATCGGTAAGATAAATTTTCACAAATACTTTATATCTATCGGTAATTTCCGTCGGTAATAACTAATTTTCTGATGGCTACAAATCCGTCAGTAAAAATCTGTCAGAAATAAGCGATTTTCTTCTAGTGAAATTTTTGAAAGAACAAATTGGAAAACACATCAATAACTCACCCATAAAGGCATAGGGGACATCTAAAAGTGTTCCGACAAGTCCTACCAAAGGTACAAACATGGAAAAGTATGGAATTGGTGGACATGATAAAATATATAAATTGTATAAGATTTGCACCACCAACTTTGATAATGAAGATAATCACACTGCTACAGATATGACTTTCAACGTTGGTTATATAAGGCTTTCAACGGCGATTATATAACCAACGTTGTATCAGGCGACGTTGAAAGTGTAGACTTTCAACGTCGGGTATATAGAACCGACGTAGAAACGCTGAATATAAACGACACTACATTTGGGGTTTTAACTACGTCGGTTATGGTAAAAATCGACGTTGATATTATTATTTTCTACGTCGGTTATTGACACAACCGACGTAGAAAGTCTATTTATTTTTTAAATGGCCGCTTTGTTTATACAGGGTATCCCAATGTTTGTATACAATACCTGCAAATTTGAATACAACCCAGGCAGACAATATACAAGATATAAACTAATTGAATGTGCATTCAAAAATAAAATTGTATCCAAAATTACAAATATGTATCCAACTACTTATCTACCAAATACACTAACTACTAATCTAACTAATAAACTAACTAGTAAACTAACTAGTAAACTAACTACTAAACTAACTACTAAACTAACTACTAAATTAATAACTAAACTTGCCTACTTCTAACTTTAACAAACTTATCGGCCCAGGTGTTTCTAATATCGTCAATGGTCTCTATGGGCAATGCTTTGCTGTCTGAAAATACCTGTTACAAGAAAAAAGATCATTTAACAGAGTATCCAATGACACAATATTTAATTTTATTGAATACTAAATTTAAGCAAACCTGATTCCATGTATCCTCAGTCTTGCTAACAACAATCAGCCACATCCAGTGCATAACATAATATCCGCACTCATAAGATCCTGGTTGCCTATTACACTACAAAAAATAATATATTAATTTGACATATAAAATGAATGATATAATACATAAATATAAAATTACTTACATTAACAAAAATCCAATTTGGAGTCGTGCTTTTGCTTGTGTGTACTCCATCAATTGTATTGCAAACCTTAAATGCACTTGTGTAATACAAGATATAATGAAACAATTAAGTAACAAAACAAGTAATAATTGTTTAAATTATTATAAGAATATGTATCTATTTACAATGTATTTAATATCTGCATCAGGTTTCTTGCCCAATGAGCGGAACCAAGCCACAACATTCTCGCTTTGGGCAAACAACCAACAACCGCCAATGATTTCTGCTACATTACAAAAAGTTAGGATACATACAATACACTATAAAATTTAATGCGAATAATTTCATACGCTTAAATACTTACTGATAGAAGTAAGCACCCAAGTAAACTTTCTTCCTTGACTTCATCATCCAATTTTGGATGTATATTTGAACTTCTTCTCTCTTGTTTCCTGATTTTTGTATGGATTGGGGCTCAAAAAATCCATACACATCTTGGGTGAGTTGTTGCTCCGACAATTCATTCATTATCCTAAAGTAGTCAGTTCAATGTACATTAAATATGATGATAACTTCAAATAACATAATTAGTAAATAAAAATAAATACTTACATTGTCCAAAATTGTAACACTGCTATGTTTAGACACTGATGGCCAACTGTTATCTCCACAGCATCGGTGTGGTCAATGTAAAGGGGAAAGTTTTTATTGTCTACCCCTAACTTATCAACATCCCACTTCACTTGAAAAGATTGAATATACAACCGTGGGACAACAGATAGTAGTTGAAAAATTGGATTTTCTGGGACATCTACTTCCTTACCTTTACTAGTATGGGAAGTAGGAACCAGCTTAGGCAACCTGGGTGGCTTCGAACATCCTACATAAAATAACATTGACTTGAGAAATAATAAAAAACAAGTACGAGACTACATATGATAATTAACGTAAAATATATGCAAACCTTTTTCAAAATAGGCCCGATTAGATGTCTAAGCCATGCAATGAAGGTCCGGAGGGCCTGTCCCACTCGTCATCACCTCGTCCGTGGGTACAGTACAAGAGCATAAGCATCTCGAACCTCTTCAATGACCACTTTGGCCAAGTTAGGTGCTAAAGGCACACTATGAATTGTAGAGGCCCCTCTTCAATTGAACCAACCGCCACCAATCGTGGTTCGGATCCATCCTCATCAACATAAAATTCACACTGACTCGATTACACAAAAATAAGACATTTATTATTTAATATGCACATTAATTTTTGTCATGAAGATATCACCCACACATACCTGAGTGGTCAGTGTCTGCAACAACAACAACAACCTCTTGATTAGTAGCAGGAAACTCTTGATCAGCAGTATTTGGCTCAGCACAACTACCCTTAGTGCTAACTCGTGCGGCAGATGGAGGAGGAACATCCATAGGTGGGTGGGTAGGCTGTGTGACACCTATGGATGCTAGACTTGAACCAAATACACGCATCATCTCCTCCTGAACTCGTGCGGTAATGGCTGGTGTCAGCGTCGCTGTCAGCTCTTCAACCATCACTGGTCTCAGCTTCGTTGTTAGACTCTCCTCCAACTTCGCCATCTCCTGCTGGCTCAATGATGTGGTGTTGGTATGTAAGGAAGAACTTCATTTGTGTTATTTAGAATATACAAGTGTGCCCTGGTCAACTCACTAGCATTTTTTGATTGTATTTTTACCTCACGAGTGCCCTTACCATTTATTCTATGATCATGTCGTTGAGTAGGTACACCCACTGCTAGGGCCTTTCCAAAATATTCAGAACAAAATTCTATAGCTTCTTCTGCAATATACCTTTTAACAATAGAAGCTTCAGGTCTATATGGATTCTTTGTATACCTTTTGAAGATCTTCATACATCGCTCAATTGGGTACATCCACCTCAAATAAATCGGACCACACAGTCTTATCTCTCTTACAAGATGAACTATTAAGTACACCATAATGTCAAAAAATGATGGAGGAAAATACATCTCCAACTGACATAATATAACCACAACTTCATTTTCCAACTGCTCCAATGATTTCTCATCAACTACTTTGGCACATATAACATTGAAGAAGAAACAAAGACGCATAATTGCATGTCGTAGATTCTTTGGCAATATGTCACGTATAGCTACGGGTAAAAGTTGTTGTATCAAAACGTGGCAATCATGCGACTTTAACCCAACTAGCTTCAGATCTTGTATGGACACAAGACTCTTAATATTTGAAGAGTATCCTTGTGACACTTTAATACTGTGAAGACACTGACATAAACTAGTCTTCTCCTTCTTTGACAATGTGTGACAAGCTGGTGGTAAATATGTTCTCTTGCCTTTAGGTCTTGGATGTAATTCTGGACGTATTCCTAATTCACATAGATCTTGACGAGCTTTGACTCCATCCTTTGTTTTTCCTTTAATGTTCAATAGTGTGCCAATGAGACTATCAAATACGTTCTTCTCCACATGCATAAAATCAATGCAATGTCTCACATCTAGATGACTCCAATATGGAAGATTAAAGAAAATTGATCTCTTTTTCCACAAGCTTTTATCAGACGACTGTTTTTTAGTCTTTCCAAAGACAACATTAATGTTTTTAACCCGTTCATAAACTTGTTCACCAGTTAAAGGTTGTTTGACAATTTTATCTTCCTGCTGACTAGTAAAAGCTTTCTTCAATCTTCGATATGGGTGGTTATGTGGAAGAAATTTTCTGTGCCTATTATACACAGTCTTTTTTTCATGCTTCAATTGTAGAAAACTTGTATCTTCCTCACAAATAGGACAAGCATGATGACCCTTGACACTATACCCACTCAAGTTTCCATATGCTGGGAAGTCATTGATAGTACAAAATAACATTGCATGTAACTTGAAGCTCTGCTGTTGATATGCATCAAACACATCCACTCCTTCCTCCCATAATAGCCTTAAGTCATCTATTAACGGACTTAGATAAACATCTATGTCATTACCCGGCTGTCTTGGACCTGTAATCATGATGGATAACATCATGTACTTGCGCTTGAAAATCAACCATTGTGGAATGTTGTAAATCACTAAAAGAACTGACCATGAGTTGTGATTACTGGTTAAGTTACCAAAAGGATGCATGTCGTCTGTGGCTAGTCCAAGTCTAACATTTCTTGCATCACTGCCAAACTTGGAAATAGGCAGTCAATTTTCTTCCACTGTGGAGAATCGGCCGGATGACAAAGCAATCCATCACGTTTTTGTGCAGTTGAATGCCATATCATATTCTTGGCATCTTCTCCATTGGCAAACAATCGCTTAAATCTTGGAATAATTGGAAGATACCATATAACTTTTGCAGGAGGTCTCTTTCTATCAATATATTCGCTATTATCATCCTTGTCTTTCAATTTGTAACGCGATACACCACATCTTGGACACTCATGTAGGCTTTCAAACTCTTTTCTGTATAATACACAATCATTAGGGCAATCATGTATCTTTTTATACTCTAAACCCATTGGACAAAGTATTTTTTTGGCTTCATACATACGATCAGACAAGGTGTTATCGCTTGGGAGCATATCTTTTAAAACTTCTAGTAACTTAGTGAAACTTTTATCACTCCAACTAAATTTTGCCTTCAAATTGACCAATCTCAATACAGTTGACAATCGCGTGAATGTTGTACATCCAGCATACAGAGGTATCTCTGAATCTATCTTCAATTTATCATAGATAGCAGCATGTGCTTGCAGAAAATTCTCTTGACCTACATCACGAATCATGTCTTCTATTCGATCTTCCATTGTCATATCCTCCTCTTCCTCAGCTTGTGTTACTATTGGTGTATCAATCACTTCACCATGCCATGTCCATACGATATAATTCTTCATTATCCCATCACATAAAAGATGTTCCCGTATTGTCTCTAGTGTGTGTACTCTCCCATTAACGCAGTTAACACATGGACAATACAATTTTCCATTAACCTTGGTGCCATTGTGTTTGGCAAATCGCAAAAATTCTTCAACTCCATTCTCATACTCTTGTGAAATACGACTTGCATTTACCCAACTTCGATCCATTTTGGAATTGGAGTCTACAAATGAGAAACCAATAAAACGATTAATACTAATAATCGTTATCTCTAATGAAATCTATACAAAAGTAGATTAATTTCTAACGAAAATTCAACAGAATTTCGTCTATTTTTTGGTCAAAACCAAATTTGTATAAATTGAAATTATAGAGTTTTCATTGTTACTACCATCACTTATATAACTACATTGTTATATGTAGTTTTCAGAATTCACACTTCATGATTAATTTCTAACCAAAATCCGGCAGAGTTTCCTTTGTTTTTTTACAACAATTTTAAATGACACAGTGAAACCTGCCAATAAAAAGCCTCACGGGCATATTCAAGCAGTCCAAATATAATTGTACACATCATCAATACATTGAAAAAAACTATATTCATCTTAATTTTAAAATTGTATCATTATTTGTCTTGACTTGAGAGTTCCCCTGGAATGGGCTGAAGCTTACATCCAATCACCATTTTATGGGGACAAAACGTATAAACAATTAAATCAACAGTTAACGGCCAACAATAATATGACTAAGAATCTCTACCTATGAAATGAAGTAAGTAAAATTTTATGACTTCAACTTTTTGCCCAACAAATATAAGTGCAACAACATTGTACCTGTGGGTTAAGGCAGCGATGAAGGTGCGCACCACAGAGAAAGAGAGCAGCGCTGCAGTGGAGTGGAGGTGGAGGATGCGAGTGCGGCGTTAGGGTCGAGGCCGTGGTGAGCCGGAGGTGGACGATGCAATGTGGGTGGAGGTTGCGGTGGGGGTGGAGGGTGGGCGACTAGCGTCGCGGTGGGGTGGAGGTTGTGGTGGGGTAGGGTGGAGGTGGAGGCTGCGGTAGGGTGGAGGTCGAGCCTGCGGTGCAGCTGGAGTCTGCGGTGGACGATGCGGCGCCTACCGTCGCGGTGGGGTGGAAGCTGCAGTGGGGTGGAGGTGGAGGCGGAGGCTGCGGCGGGGGTGTCACGCGGTGGCGACGTGAGGGAGGGCGTCCGGAGAGTCCAAATGAGGGTGGTAGGTGGTGGCCGCGATGCTGGAGAGTAAGGGGAGATACAAAAATGGTATCCTTTTCAAATGGGAAAACGGGTTTTCCACGTCGGTTATACCCACACCCGACGTTGAAAGCCCTTGCAGAAAGGTTTTCAACGTCGGTTGAGGGTATAACCGACGTTGAAAGCCTACTTTCCACGTCGGGCATGCTAAAACGATGTAGAATGTGTCAGAATTCGACTTTCAACGTCGGTTGGTCAACAACCGACGTTGAAAGCATATTCAACGTTGGCTAAGATTTAACCGACGTTAAACAACGACGTTGAAAGTATATTTTATAGTAGTGTCAGTTAGTATATAATAATTAACAATGTAATCCATTGTTTTATTTTAGTGTTTGTAGTGAAGGTGCATGTTCATATATTGACCTTCCAGAACTTTGAGATGTTAAAGCCTAGGGGTAAAATTGACAATATGGTAAGTTTTTTATTTAATGAAATTGTAATTAAATATATTTGAATAAAATATATTTATTAATATGATATCGTTTGTTAGGTTATGTTGTTTGCAACTAGTTTAATGATGTATGACCAAATTAATGTGATTGATGACAACATACGACATTTTTGTTTTAATCCTTTGTTTGTGGTATGTTTATGTATTTAAAAAGTTACATTGAAAATTTTTCTGATATAAGTATATTATGATTGCTTGTGATTTTATTTTATACCTTTTCATAGACATATGTTATTGAATAAATGAATATTTGCAAAGGTAAAGTTTTGACCTGGACAATGAAAGAAGACTCACTTTTTTTATCCAGATACAATTATTTCAATGCAGAAGTTATTGACTTGTGAATTTGTGAGTATTCATAGTTCCCTTAACATTTCAAATTTGTAAAGTTAAAATTACATTAACAAGAGTTTTTCATTCTTACTGAAATATGTTTTGTATATTTTGTTTTATTATGTTTTAGATATTTGCTCCGATTATACACAATGATTATTGGTGGTGTTATGTGCTAAAATATAAGGATAGAGAAATGTTCCTTTTGGATTCATTGGACCATGATAATTGATCACACAAAGTAATTGATAGAGCTATGGTAAATATTTGTTTGAAGTTGTTGTTTACCTAAGTAATTATAGTTAATTCAAAGGAATATGTTTAACTATAAAAATGTAATATTGTGAACAGATGCAACGGTTTGAGAATATATTGTTGATGTTAGAAACAAAGTCATCCAATACCACCGGACAACTTAAGGTTACAAAGGAGGACTTGCCAATTCAACATAATATGTTAGTATCTTCTTATACTACGAAAATATGTTGTATGTAATGCGTGTAATAATTACATTTAATTGTGCAATTATGATTGTGGATTGTTTGTTTTAAAATATATGGACTTGTGGGATGGTGTGTGCAAAGTGAACGAGAAAAGTATGCTCGATTGCACATCGATAAACATTAAAGTGATATTATTAATGTCGTTTCAATTTCTAATAATATCAGTATAATTCATTTTGACATTCCTTAT